TCTGTGTTTTGTTTTCTTTTAGTTTTTCCTTTTTTTTTCTGTTGTGTCTCCCTGGAGCACCTGCTGCTTCTCATGGCATCCACCAGGTGCCGCTAGGATGCAGAGCCCCTGGAGTTGTGCCATGTCAACCCCGTCGACACACCTGCAGCTTGTTCGGAGGGCTCAGCCTGGGTGTTTATAGGAGCGGCGGAACGACTCCTCTCCGCCTGAGTGTTTTGTTTACCTCGGTAACGATCGTTACATGATAGGCCCCCCGAGATCTACGTCGATTTAACCTCTGTTTTTTCTCACATTAGGTGAACCCGCCGTCTCCCTGTTGATTCCCTGAGTGGGCCGTCTGCCCCGGAACCCTTAGCCTCCAGATTTACTCGGTCGCCTCGGACGCCTCTCCAGGAAAGCAGGACTCCCTGACCGAGCTTGGATCCACCTGGAGGTGCCTTGGCCTGGGCCTTGACGAATCTCGCTCTGATCGCTCTACCTGTCCGGCCTCCCACCAGCCCAGTTCTCCAGTGCTCTGCCAGCCGTCATACTCACACCCTCCAAAGTAAGATCCAATCTGTTTATCCCGGAGAGTCTCTCCTACCCGCTAACTAACCCAAACCATCTCATTGACAGTTTGACGAACCGGTGACCCGTTCCAGAAACCATCCCTCTTTCCTTTTCCCTCAAACTCAATAAATCATCATTGTTCATTAAACCGCTTACCTGATTGTGTCCTTGCATGTGGGTTCGAAACCTTAGAGACACCATGACAGAACACTCAGGCCAGACCACAACCTCAGCGGACACAATCAGAAGGGCTCTATCCGAACAACATGCCCTGATTCAGTCCCACGACTCCGCTTTAAGAGAGCTGGGAAGCCGCCAAGCAGAAACAAATCGTCGGCTAACAGAACTTTCAAATTTCCTACAGAACCCAGTCCAGCAGGTACCTAGCGTTTCTTCCACTCCTCTGCGGCTCCTGATCCGCCGAACCGCTCCATGTTTTCGGATGTCCGTCCATCTGCACCAGATAAATTTTCAGGAGACATTAAGAAGGTAAAAGGTTTCATTCTCCAGTGTAATATAATCTTTAATCATTCACCGCAGAGCTTTCCCCATGATGATTCAAAGATATCGTACATGTTATCCCTGTTGACGGGTCGAGCACTAGAGTGGGCGAAGCCAGGTTTACATCCGCCTTGAATTATGGATGTACGTTTCCTGAGTTCCTAAGGGAGTTGAAACAAGTTTTTTGTCAGGAGACTGAAAAGACTTCAGCCTCCCGTGATTTGCATGGTTTGAAGCAGGGCCAGAGGAGTGTGGCTGATTTTGCCATTGATTTCAGAATCAAAGCCGCAGCTTCTGGTTGGAATGCCCCTGCACTTAAAAGTGCATTTTTCCATGCGTTAAATGAGCGAATTAAAGATGAACTGGCAACTCTAGATGAACCTGAGACTCTAGACGAATTCATCAACCTAACCATAAAATTGGATAACCGAATCCGCTCCAGGGCGAGGGAGCGGTCCAGCCGGGTTTTTTCCCCAGGTGTTTCCCAACACAGTAACCGGTCTGAAGTTCAGGATTCCCCTACCTCTGCCCCTGAACCTGAACCTATGCAACTGGGACACACACGCCTAACCCCAGAGGAACGCCCAGAAGCGGATGCGTTCCCGGCTCTGTCTCTACTGTGGTGAGCCTAACCATGTTATCGCTAACTGTCCCATTCGTTTAAACCCGCAGGTCCGGCAGTAAAGACGGGGGAACTGTCGGCGTTATCATCACAGTCAACTAAATCCCGTCTCATCATTCCAGTCACCCTCCTTAGCAATAACGAATCTTTTCCCCTGTCAGCACTCATTGACTCGGGATGCGAACAAAACCTCATAAACTCAGAAATAGTCCAGCAACTGGGCATCAAGGTTGAACCTCTGCCTACCCCTCTCCGTGTTTCAGCCCTGGACGGAGGGAACCTACCACAAATCACCCACCGTACGAAGTCCATACGCCTATTGATCTCAGGTAATCACACCGAAGAGATTGCATTTTTTGTTTTCCCTGCTACCAGTTCCTCCTTAGTTCTGGGATTCGACTGGTTACACGCACACAACCCTCATATCAATTGGGCTGAAGCCAAGATCGAGTCCTGGTCCACAAGGTGTCATTCCACCTGTCTTTTCTCCGCCGTTCCGGGCAGGACCTCCCTGACTGAACAGGCAGAGGTCGATCCACCTGACATATCCTCCATTCCCAGTGAGTACCATGATTTATCTACGGTTTTCAGCAAAGACAAGGCGTTATCTCTACCACCCCACAGGCCGTATGACTGCAGCATTGACCTTTTGCCAGGAGCTCCATTACCCAACAGCAGGTTATACAACATTTCCAGAAGTGAGCGACAGACAATGGAGGACTACATAAACAAATCTCTCGCTGCCGGCATAATCCGCACGTCCTCTTCCCCATTAGGTGCAGGGTTTTTTTTGTGGGAAAAAAAGATGGGTCCCTACGGCCCTGCATAGATTACAGGGGACTAAATCAAATCACAATAAAGAACAAATATCCATTACCACTGTTGTCCTCAGCTTTCGAGCCTGTGCAAGACGCAACCATTTTCACGAAGCTAGACCTCAGAAACGCTTATCATCTTCTCCGTATTAGAGAAGGTGAGTGGAAAACGGCATTTAAGACTCCTATGGGGCACTATGAGTATTTGGTGATGCCTTTTGGTCTCTCTAATGCCCCTGCCTTTTTTCAGGCACTTGTGAACGATGTCCTCAGAGATTTCATTAACGTTTTGTGTTTGTCTACCTAGACGACATTCTGATCTACTCCAAGTCCCTCGTTGAACACAGAAGACACGTCCGTTTGGTTCTCCAGCGGTTGCTTGAAAACAAACTATACGTAAAAGCCGAAAAATGTGAGTTTCACCGTCGATCAGTAACTTTCCTGGGATACGTACTGGAGGGCGGACAGGTAAGAGCGTCAGAGGACAAGATAAAAGCAGTACTGGACTGGCCCAAGCCTGAGACCCGTAAACAACTACAACGATTCTTGGGGTTCGCTAACTTCTATCGAAGATTCATACGCAACTATAGCCAAACTGCATCTCCCCTAACGGCTCTGACCTCCACCAAGAGGGTATTTGCCTGGACCCCTCAAGCAGAGGCTGCCTTCGCGGAACTCAAGTCCCGGTTTGCTCATGCACCCATACTCATCCAGCCCGATCCCAAGAAGCAGTTTGTGGTGGAAGTTGATGCCTCCGACACAGGGGTCGGAGCTGTCCTCCCAGACCACCGACCATGACCATAAGCTTCATCCCTGTGCCTTTTTCTCCCGCAGACTCTCACCGGCGGAAAGAAATTACAACGTTGGGGACAGAGAGCTCCTGGCGATCAAGTTAGCCTTGGAAGAATGGCGACATTGGCTTGAGGGAGCTGAACAACCCATTCTGGTTTGGACAGATCACAAAAACTTATCCTATCTCCAATCCGCTAGGAGGTCCAACCCACGCCAGTCGCGTTGGTCTTTATTTTTTTCTCGCTTTAACCTGTCTATTCATATCGCCCAGGCTCCAAGAATGTCAAGCCTGATGCGCTCTCTCGAGTTTATTCCTCAGATGACTCTGAAGAAGATCCGGCTCCTATCCTTCCCCCCACCTGCACAGTGGGAGTGGTCACCTGGGAGATCGAGGACCTTATTCGCCAAGCACAGCAAAAGGAACCTGCCCCTGAACACTGTCCATCAGGTAAAATGTACGTACCCTTATCGGTTCGATCCCGTTTCCTCCAGTGGATACACGCTTCAAAGTTTTCTGGCCACCCTGGCATCAGTCGCACCATTGGGCTAATAAATCGGAGGTTCTGGGGGGAATCGGTACACAAGGACGTGAAGGAATACGTCTCGGCCTGTGTGGTCTGCTCCCGCAATAAGTCGTCGAACCATCATCCTGCAGGCCTCCTTCAGCCACTACCCATACCCCGACGACCCTGGTCCCACATCGCGGTCGACTTTGTCACTGGACTACCTACCTCTAAAGGTATGACTACCATTCTCACCATCGTCGATCGTTTCTCCAAGGCTTGTCATCTTGTTCCTCTCCGTAGATTGCCTACTGCCACCCAGACTGCCATGCTTCTGATTAAACATGTGTTTAAACTCCATGGCATTCCTCAGGAGATCCTCTCAGATCGTGGTCCCCAGTTTGTCTCTCAGGTTTGGCGCCAATTCTGTTCTGCCTTGGAGGCCAAGGTGATGCTCACTTCTGGTTACCATCCTCAAACCAACGGACAGACAGAGCGCATGAATCAAGAACTAGAAGCTACCCTGCGGTGCCTGACCTCCACCAATCCTGACGACTGGGCCCAGTACCTTCCCTGGGTTGAGTATGCGCACAACAGTCACATCTCTGCAGCCACAGGTCTTTCTCCTTTTGAAATAGTGCTGGGTTACCAGCCACCACTCCTGCCCTCTGATGAAACGACAATCTCTGTTACCTCTGTTCAACACCACATTCGTAAAAGTCGAAAGATCTGGAAAGACACCATAGATGCGCTCACCAACACCACTGCACGCAATAAACGCCTGGCGGACCGCAGGAGGACTCCTGCTCCTGATTACACCATAGGTCAAAAGGTGTGGTTGTCTACACGCGACATCCCCCTCAAGGCGATGTCCAAAAAGTTGTCTCCCAAGTTCATAGGCCCTTTCGAGGTGTCGTCAGTTATCAGCCCATCTGCCGTACGTCTTCGTCTTCCTCCGTCCCTGCGCATTCACCCAACCTTTCATGTGTCCCATATTAAGCCTGTCCTTTCTAGTGACCTTTGCCCTCCGGCCGAACCCCCTCCTCCGCCCGTATCGTCGATGGCCATCCGGCCTTCTCCGTCCGCCGGGTCGTCGCCTCCCGGCGGGGTCGGGGTTTCCAGTACCTCGTTGACTGGGAGGGTTATGGTCCAGAGGAACGCTCCTGGGTGCCAGGATCGTTTATTTTGGATCCCTCCCTCATTAGAGACTTTTGGGACTCCCAGCCCTCCTCTTCTGCTCGGCCGCCGGGTGGCGTCCATTGAGGGGGGGGTACTGTCAGGGTCTGTGTTTTTGTTTCTTTTAGTTTTTCCTTTTTTTTTCTGTTGTGTCTCCCTGGAGCACCTGCTGCTTCTCATGGCATCCACCAGGTGCCGCTAGGATGCAGAGCCCCTGGAGTTGTGCCATGTCAACCCCGTCGACACACCTGCAGCTTGTTCGGAGGGCTCAGCCTGGGTGTTTATAGGAGCGGCGGAACGACTCCTCTCCGCCTGAGTGTTTTGTTTACCTCGGTAACGATCGTTACATGATAGGCCCCCCGAGATCTACGTCGATTTAACCTCTGTTTTTTCTCACATTAGGTGAACCCGCCGTCTCCCTGTTGATTCCCTGAGTGGGCCGTCTGCCCCGGAACCCTTAGCCTCCAGATTTACTCGGTCGCCTCGGACGCCTCTCCAGGAAAGCAGGACTCCCTGACCGAGCTTGGATCCACCTGGAGGTGCCTTGGCCTGGGCCTTGACGAATCTCGCTCTGATCGCTCTACCTGTCCGGCCTCCCACCAGCCCAGTTCTCCAGTGCTCTGCCAGCCGTCATACTCACACCCTCCAAAGTAAGATCCAATCTGTTTATCCCGGAGAGTCTCTCCTACCCGCTAACTAACCCAAACCATCTCATTGACAGTTTGACGAACCGGTGACCCGTTCCAGAAACCATCCCTCTTTCCTTTTCCCTCAAACTCAATAAATCATCATTGTTCATTAACCGCTTACCTGATTGTGTCCTTGCATGTGGGTTCGAAAACCTTAGAGACACCATGACATTTATCAGCTAAAAAAATAAACAAACCAAACAAAAAAAATCTATTTTAAATACAGAAGATGGGGTAAAAATATAATTTCAAAAGTATTTAGATGTCTGATTACTGACATTAAAGATTATAACGGCCTTCAGAAAAAGAAATTGAAAGAAATATGTGGATATTTGTTATATTTCTATGGTAACATTTGCCATTTCCAAGGGAGCAGTCAGGAGCACAACATGAAGGAGCTGTGCTACATATACAAAGTATGATCAGTATATGGTTGGAGCTTCATGTGAGAAAGTTTTTATTCACAGATTTTTAACAAAATATATTTGCAAAAAATTATGCACACCCAATATGAAAACTGTCAGCTGCTTCTGTGAGCCTTTGGGACACATAATTACTCATCTCCAGATTTTGATTTTAAAGTGCGGATTAGAGAAAATCTGGGTAAAAATCTGCATCTAGTGCTTGTTTTATAATTCACTTAAGTTTTATTTATTCATTGCACATTGGGAAAAACAAATCAAATGCATCATACAACCTAAAATTACACACACCAAAAAGAAGTGTGTGTAAACCTCTATCCTACCACTGCTGTGTGATAATAATGTCTTGTCTCTTATTTTACCTGTGTAAGTAAAGCCCTTCGGGTTTTATTTAAAGGCAGAGGAGGCAGTCGAGAATGAAAGAATGTAAATGGGTCACAGTTGAAGGAGAGCTATTGGATTCCATTAAAACTGCTCTTGAAATTATCTATCTATTTATGCCTTGATTTACACAGTATATAGGGCGGTCAGCAGGTCACCGCCTCTACTGTAGATGGAAATTAAACAAACGGCCTTGCATTCCCCGGCCTCTCTACCCTGAAATAAAAGTCCTTTCTGACGACAGGATCACATTTGTAACGGCGAGGAATACTAGTACTAAGTAGATAATACATCCATCTCACATCCTTCTTATCCAAGCTATAAAAAATCTACATTAATTTAGCCAACAGCCCATTACGGCCAGCCTTCACATGTAAAGGTTTTGAAGGGCTGTGAAGAGGGTAAAGCCTGTAAATGAACGTCAAGTGTGTTAGCATTAGGAGAGGTGAGCCAGCTACTGGGAAAGGTTACTGGTTTTCCAATATCGATGAGAGGGCCTCGTCCATTTGTGTGATATTGAGCTTTCACTGTCAGGCCCATTTGCGTCCCGTTCCTCTACACATTTTATCTGATTTACAAGGCTGCGCGTGTGCCGTGGCATCTATTCATCTGTGTTTAACATCTCAGGGGCCACAGGTTCACCTGTCTCTCCGTGTTCCCGTTGGAGCTTATTAACCATCGTCCTTACAGAAGCAGTCCCAGTTAATTACACAAATGGATGTGAACAACCCAAAATGTGGAACATACTGGTTTATCTCCCAAAGCGGTTCACATAAATCTGATTTGACGCCTCCCCAGCAGGACCGCATTCGCACGGCTCCTTCAGGGGCTTTACTCAGACATCAGTCAGCTATAGATAATATAAATAACCAGAAAGTGATTAGGAACCGCACTTTTCCCTCACGGTTTTTCCAGTATAAAAAATATTGCTAGTGGCTTGTTCTTCAGACACACGTTTTTTGTTTATGCATACAAATGATCCTTCTTCTAGTGAGCACACGTTCCGTGTCATAAGCACAAAAAACCAGAAACATGTTTGGAGATTTGATCCAAAGTTGCAGCATGCATGGGCGATCTGTTATCTCCATTTATTCTGGTTTAAATCCCCAATTCAGTCGACCGTAATAAGATATTACAGATTACCTTGTCAACCGAGATAACGCTAAATAAATTCCTGTTAATAGGAAGTATGTGTAGCGGTTATATATCGACATTATTAAAATATACTGGAAGTAAAGTGAAGAGATACTTTGTATCATTGCTTGCCAAATAGTTATAAAATGTCAGAGTTGATATGAAATATCCCGCTAGGTGGCACTGTTTTGTACCCCCTAAAAATGAAGACATAACTAAAAATGCATAGTTACAGATGACCAGAAACTTCAGTAAGCATGTTGTGCTTTTTATTCTGTTCTGCATAATTCTAACTTAAAATACTTTATAAAATTCATATCTTAAAAAAAAATTAAAACAAAAATATATTTCGCTAACTTTTTAATGATATAAACCCAAAAGCCTGCAAAACGACAATTAATGGATAAACTATTAATATTTTTCTTTGACGTTCAAGAGATAGAACTAAAATAATGAAATGCACAAGTGAATGAGGTAATTAAAAAATGTTAAAAATATGCTGATTAGATCCTTTGATTCTTTATAGCATAAGTTGCTTAAAAGTATAAATAGAAGTCACAGGAGATGGAACTGTGCAGCGGCTTCTCTAATCTCGCTAAAAGTTGCATTTGCTTTCGAGGTAAAAGACACGGAGGAATCTAAAAATATCTGTTTCTTATGTTAATTTTTGATTTTAAAAGAGAGCACATGTTTGGGCTGCATAAAACAGCCTCTGTTGAGGTTTTTAATAAGGCACAAAGGGTTCAAATTTAGTGATTTTTGCTCTTGTTCGAGTCTTTAAGGGTATTGTAATAAAAAGGAATTGTTATTTTCTTAAATAAAGCCAGTAAACAACTGACCAACTGCTAAGCCTGTGTATGTTTGCAAAATTTACTCGCTCTAGCCTTGAAGGTGAAATGTGTCATTTCCCTTCAGCCTTCAGGCGCTTATTACCTCCCTGCAATCAGCAAAAAGAGCGGGGGAAAAAAAGAGAAGGAACCAAAAAAAAATCAAAATAATTTCAGTAAATTTTGTGCACTGAACAAGAAGCCAAGGATGAGATTCAAAACATGAAAGGCATGAAAGGGGAAGTAAAGTGTGTGTGGGCAGATTGAGGATGGAAAGGAAAATACAAGTGATTGTTACCAGCTTTCACCACAAAACTTGTAGAAAATTCAACTGGGAAGGATTTTCAGGGTCATTTCTCTGGCTTCAGAAAGGAAGAAATAAAACTCTAATCACGCATGACAAGTGAAGGGGAATTTATTAGTTGTCCAGCTTTGTAAGATCACTGAATATCAACAGATCAGTTCTTAAATTTCTGTTTTTATGTAAATATATGTTTACTAATTAAACGTAAACTTCATTTGTTCGTTTTTGAGTGAAGTGAAAAATGTTGAAATAAATTTTTTGATTCAACTTAAAGATAAAAGGTTTAGCTTACACAAACACAAAAACAGTTGCATTAATATTTTGATCAATATTTTGATCAATTAAATTCAGGTCTACATTTGCTGCATTTTTTTAGTTTGGTATTTAATGTTCAAAATAAAATCAAGGAATCCACAAAAGCATCACTGATGCTCTATCACATAAAATATCTCATTTCACACAGCCATTGTTACAATGATTTCCCCATCTAAGATTTTAAGATCAAATATGTAGCTATTTGAGGGAGGACTGTATTAAAATCACACTTTGAAAAAAATATATTCTTTTTTAATCTCATTAGTTCCATAGGTTGGAATATGTTCAGTTACTTTACAAATTTTCAATACTTTGTCAGATTTCAGCAGTTTTCTCACCCTAGATTTATAAATCCTTCCTACCTTTCATTCTTTTAATATCACTGCTAATGTAATTTTGTCTGCCTCCTGACTGTCACTGGATGCTCAAAGTGCTGCAACTCAGAAAACTGAAATGACTCATTATGGGTCTTACAATAAGATAATAACTGTAACATTTTATCAACAGAAGCAATAATAGTTAAGGATGTGTGACCCTGGACAATCCGGAGATATTAAAAGATGCCTCTCTGTGTTTGTTCCAACCTTAGAAAATGTTGAATGCAAAATACTTTGCAAAAATTATTTACAGCAGGCAAATAATTGCAGTTCAAGTGTTTTATTTTCTCAGTGAAAAATTATGCTTCTTTTATAAAGATATATACATTCTACACATCATTTACAGCAGTTTAAGTTTCAATAGTAGAAGTCTCAAAAAGCAATAGGTTTCAAAAACACTTACAATAAGAAACACATAAAGAAAGCTTTCTTGAAGAGTCCATCCTCTCCTGATGGGTAACTTTCAGTTTCTGGTTTTCTCCATTTTCCCTCTGTTGCATTTACATGTACCAAAGAATCTTCATACATTTCAGCAGCTGTGATGTAAACATTCAAGCCTGTGCTGAGTTTTCTGGACTCTGAAGGTGACATGACTTTGGTAAAAACCTGCAGAGACCCAAGATTTGAACTTTTTTAAATGCGCATGCAAAAATAAAAGAATAATTCTGGTTTCTCATCCAAAACTCAGTGTAGCTTGATGCTTTACTCCTCAAGGAACCCCTCTATTACTTCATATTCACCCAGGAGGATAAATTGATGCCTTGCATTGGCTGCATTCAAGTTCGAGCCAATATAAATGCTCAATTTGCTTCCCGAGTTGCTTTCTGCAAGGTGGATGTGGCTGTTGTATTCAAACAGAAAGGGACAGAACTGTCTGCTTTTGAAATCAATTTTCCCCCTGTGGAAGAAAGAGATATCTTGCAGATTTACTAAGGCTTTTAGCCTGAGGCTAAACTAGTTATGAAGAAAATTTCAAAATGATGGCCTTTTTTTATCAAAGCAACACACAAATATACACCTGAAAGACATGGATGCACCACTGCATCTGGCCTGTTGCATGTTTAGCTTTGATTTTTCCTGGTGAGTAACACGAGAGTAGAGGAGAGTATTTAATGCAACTACATGGAATGTGTCCAGGTCATTGTGAGATGTATTTTCAGTCTTGAGTTGTTTTGTTGTTGTGTTTGTTGAAATTCAGTGAAGTGTTATCTCTCTGTGACACCGATTCCTACTGAGAAACTACTTTTAATTACCTTCTACTGTTTCCCCCAACAACATGGTGTCCATTTTTCTTCACAATGTCAT